TGGGAAACAAGGCCCTGCTGGCTGCGCATGCACGAAGCACCAGAGAGAAACAGAGCTTGCCTGGGACTGGGCACAGGTCTAACTGCATGAATCACCTTCCAAACTGTGGAAGAGCAACATGCAAATGTACTATCACCTTCCAGCCTCTCTCAGCTCCTGTGTCAGCAGACAGCGGCTGGGACTCACTAGGATTAATGCCACTGCACTGATAATGGGGCCAGAGTTCATGGAGCCTGGCAGGAAGAATTGCATGTCAACATGAGGGGCCTGCAAAACATGCATGGAAAAAGAATCATGGATTGCATTTTGTACCAAAATAAACATCATTCTAAGTTTTATTTACTTTTTACCTTATTTGAAAGGAGGAGAGACAGAGATCTTCCATGCACTGGTTTCGTCTCCCAAATGCCTGCAATAGCCAGGAACCAAGAGGACAGACAGGAACCAAGAGGACAGACAGGAACCATGAGCTAGATCCTCATCTGGATCTCCCAAATGGGTGGCAGGGACCCTGCTCCTTAATCAACTAGCCATAGCCTCTCTGTCTCTCTGTAACTCTGCCTACCAAATTAAAAAAAAAAAAAAAAACACATTACTTCTTGGCTGCCCATTAGCAGGAACATGGAATTGAGACCTGGAGCTTGGCACTCCCATATGGATGCTAACGGCCCATGCAGCAACATAACCCCTGAGCCACACACTCATGCCAATAAACATAGCTTTCTATTCCACTCTTCCATAAACATTCCGAAGTATTTTCACATATTAGAAACAAACATTCATTTATATGCTACATAAATTACAGAGCAGAAGTGCTGCTTTACCACCAAGATGAAGATATATGAGTCCACCACTCCTTAACATTTCTACTAGGACACTTTTTTCAGGATAGCAAATACTTAAAGCTTCATGGAAAAGACTCTAATACTCTCTGGAAGTTTTATTATTATTTAATGAGCACTGTGAAGTCAGGAAGCGGGTAACAACATGGAGCTAAGGCAGAAGCCTCATTTAATATGAGCAAACCAATTCGTAAACAGATGTGTCACATCTAAGATGTCATGCTTGAATGCAGGATTAAGCAACACAGTTTGTGCACGTGGTTTTCCTCTGGGGAAAGACAGATACAGCCTTTGGTTTGTAGAGCTTAAAAAATAATATGCAAGAAGGGGAAGAATTTTAAGCATAAGGAAAATCCACAAGAACAATATCGAGGGCTCTTCAGAAAGTTCTTAAACTACATATTACAAAAAAATTAGTCAAGAAGTCCAAGTTTTCACATCAAAATAAATCCATTTTTAATTTCATTTTTCAAGAAACTTCTTAGAAGTCCTTCTCTCACAGCCACCCGGCAGGGCTATGCCAGGCCCGAGTCTGAGGCCCCTGGAGGTCACTCTTGCCCTCTGCTCCTTCCTGAGCCTGGTTCTCACAGCAAGACCTCTCCAAGCTGCGTCCCTTGGACTCCTTGGCCTATTGGTTTCCTGTTGGAATCGGCCAACAGCGGGTGGATGTCAGGGCATCCTTCCCTCGGCTCCCTCCCTGATACGTTTGGTTTGGCCACAGCTATGTCATCCGGTGGCTCTCTTTGCTCTTGTGCTCTAACAGCCTCCGTTCTACCTATCCGGATCACCATCTCCTGTTGCCAGCCCCACCGTACTTCACTACTCAGTGCTGATTTGCTTTAACCTTGTCCATGCCTAGAGTCTCTTGAAGAAAACTGTTACCCCTTTGTTAATCTGTTTCTTTCCAAGACACAGACTAACCCAGCATCTTCGTGTAGGAATCAGAAAAAAGGCACCCAGACAAGAACACGACCTTTATTACAATGCTGCCTCTACTTTCACATCTTGAAAGTTTTTAAAGTCAATAATTACCAAGACAGGCAATCAGTGCAGCAGTTAAAATGCTACTCATGGAACAGTAGGTAAAGGTGCCAGCTGCAATGCCAACATCCCACATGCACTCTGGTTCATGTCCTGCCTGCCCCACTTCTGATCCAACTCCCTGCCCAAGGCCTGAGGACAGCAGCGGATGACTCCAGTGTCCCAGCCCGTGTACTTTTGTGGGAAACAGAATTAAGTTCCAAGTTCCTGGCGTTAGCCTAGCCTAGCCTAGCCCTGACAGTTGCAGTCATTTGGAGAGTGAACCCCAAATGTGAGATCTAGCTGTCTCTCCCTCTCTGTAACTCGGGCTTTCAGACAATTTTTTTTAAATGCTGCATTGGATGCTTGGCCTTACCTTCAATTCCAGATTCTTGCTACCGTGTGCCCTGGAAGGCAGCAAATGATGGCTCAGCGCATGGGTCCAAGACACTGACATGGGACACTCAAGCTCATGGTTTTGGCTCAGAACAGCCCTCACCACTATAGGCATTTGGGATTGATGTCTCTTTCTTTTTTCTGTCTTTCAAATAAATAAAAATAATTTTTTAAATTTCTCATGATTAATATGTTTATTTTCAAGTATTTATTATCTCTATTTGGAAAGGGTGACGAAGAGGGATAGTGACAGACAGAGATCTGCCAGCTAATGGTCCAGTCCCACAAATACCCATCACAGCAGGGGCTGGGCCAGGCTAAAGCCAGGAACCCCAGCAGGGTCTCTCCTGCATGGGTAGCAGAAAACCAAGTCTTTAGCCATCAGTTGCCATTTCCTAGGCACATCAGCAGGGAGCTGGATCAGAAGTGCAGTAGCCAAAACTCAAACCAGCACTCTGAAATGTGTTACTGGGTTGCAGGTAGTGGCTTAACCTGCTGAGCCCCCATCATCTGCTCCTTAAAGAAAAAAAAAAAAAATGGAAGGAAAAAAAAGGCACTGTTTCTGATTAATGGTGTGTTGCAGGTACATAGTTTGCAGAGTTGGGTTGGATTTTGGCACCAACTTACTGCCTCAGATCTCTCGGCTGACTTACAGTCATGAAATTCCCCCCCAACAGAACCTACAAACGTCTGGGCAAATCCCAGAGTGTTGGAAAACACATTCGTGGAAAATGTGGATTGGCCTAGATGTTTAAGGATGTTTGGGACCTGATTGGGAAACTGCATCTCAGACTAGGAAAACAAGTTGAACAGGCAAGTTCACGGACACAGGAATGGACTCCAGAAGACAAGAATCCCTTGACGAGAGTGTTGCACCATCACAAAGTAGAACTCGCAGGAGACAGGCTCTGCTGGCTGGCTGTAAAGGGTGACACGTGCTTTGCAATCCATCAGGCCACATGGGCCAGTGTTTAGGGAACTCTGGAGCTAGGTTTGACTGGAACCATGGCTTGTCCTCTACTAGTTCTGTGACCATCCATTCACTTCTCACTGAGCCTGTTTTCTACTTCATACCATGGGGATAAAATAGTACCCATCTCCCACAATTGCTGGCAGACTAAATTTAAAAATGCATGGAAGTGCATATCACAACAATTCCCATTTTGTAAGTATGACAAAAGCAGTGTTATGAAGATTCATTGGAAAGTGGGTTCAGGACTCACTAGAAAGGAAAAGAGGAGAAAGAAGTAAATTTGGAAGAAAAGAAACAGAAATGAGAATCTTTCTAAAAAAAAAAAAAAAAAAGTAGACTAAATACTAGGAGACTGACAGGCCATGAGAGCTAGGAATATACAGGGTTCCGAGCAAGTTTCTGGAATCTTCAACCTCTACTCACATAGAAATAAATGTAGGCAGCCCAGGCAGATGATATTGAAGGACTGACAATTTTGACATTTGGTACACATACTTGGCCAAATGTCAGTAAACCTATCAAAATGAATCCAGTATGTTGTGAAAGAATGAAAACCCAAACAGATATCTCAAATATTCCAGCAAGTATTGGTTACACATAAAACTTACCAGAGCTGTTTTTTAATATCCAGAAGTTTCCTATGACTAAAATACGAGGTGGGAACCAGTATAACCATTATGGAAGACAGTATTATAGATGCCTCATAAATCAGGAAACAGATGTATTATATGACCCAACTAGGAATTTACTCAAATGAAATAAGCATATGAAAGTTATCTGCACCCCCAATGTTTACTGCAACTCAGCTCACAAAAGCTAAGAGATGGGATCAGCCCAGATGTCCACCAACAGATCACGGGATAAGGAAAATGTAGAAATGTACCCTGCTGGGCTGCAGTTTGGCCACCAAAAGAACAAAGTCCTGTATTTTACAATAAAAATGAAATTCACTGAAAACCATTATGCTTAGTGAATGTCAGTCCCCAAAAAACAAATATGTTTTCTCTGATTTGTGGCAGTTAACACAGATTTTTTTTGTTTGTTTGAAAAGATGTATAGTAATGAAATAGACATCTTGTGATATGATTGTTTTTACCCCTTGTTTAAATCTCTATGGAACCATAGCCTCCCTGTTTTTTGATTATTGAAAATCATGGTTAGTTTTGAGTTAGGCCTGTAGTTACAGAGTGGATTGAATTCATACCTTTGCAAAATTTAAGCCAAAAAAAAAAAAAGGAACAAGGAGGCTTGAGGCAGGAAGAGGGAAGAGGAAGTCTGATTATCTTCTTGTAACTGTAGCCATAAAACACATGGATTCTGTTCTCTTTATACTGTAACATTGTATAGAAAAATAACAAAAGAGAATCTGAGTTGGGGAGCCTGTGTTAGAGTACTCTCATTTCTAAGTCCAGGTCTTGGTACCACATTTCACAGGAGAACTAGGAAGTTATAAGCCCTTTTGCTTAAGCCAAGTAACATTAGGAATGTAGAAATAAAGAGTAATTCAGTTTAACTAGTGATTTCTTTAAATTCCTAATTTAACATTTGTCTTTAAACAAGCCTATAGAAGAATTCAGTGCCGTTTAAAGAACCATTCTGAAGCCATTTCAGCCATATTCCCTCTGCCTGTTTTCTCCCTGTTTGCACCATCTGGCCTCTTCTCCAGGTTCTTCTAGGTGCTCTGGATCCTCATCCAAGATAACATGACAGAACCTGGGTCTGAGATCCCTACTGTACCATCTGAGCGGTTCTCTCCCTCTGCTTTGCAGGTACTTGCCTGAGATCATGAACGATGGGCTGACCAACCAGATCAATAATCCCGAAGTAGAAGTGGACATCACACGGCCAGACACTTTCATCAGACAGCAGATCATGGCTCTCCGTGTGATGACCAACAAACTGAAGAACGCATACAATGGCAATGACGTCAACTTCCAGGACACAAGTAAGAACTGCTCTCATGGCCCAGTAACTTCCAGAGTGTAATACGGTGACAGAATATGATATACCTCTATTTTTACCATTGCTTTTCTTCACAGTGTGCCCTTGGATTTTGCCTCATTATTTCCTCATCTGTAACACTTTCCAGATTTTAAAGAAAGCTCTGAGCTACAAAAGTGACACTGCCACTAAAATCAGAACTAAAATCAGAACTGGTCTTAAGGAATAGCTTCAGTGTTACAAACACCATGTTTTTGCTTTCTCCTTTCGCCATCAGTATTCACACCTGCCTCCAAATCCTGTTACCTTCCTCCTAACACCAAAAAAAAAAAAAAACCCTCTACAAATTGCTTAGACATACCCAGTTTCCCTGCCTTAATTACTTGTGAAATTGGGTCTTCCCCAAATTACAGTTTCCACCTCAGAATGGTTTAGCAATGACAGTGCAGAAGCAATCTATATTCAGCAGAGACCACACTTAAAGTTTTGAACTTGGACCTCATCCTGGACTGGCACCATATGGTTCATCCTCTGTCGCAATGCTGGGCAGCAGCAGTGAGCACAACGCCAGTCAGCCCCATGGTCATGTATAACACTGCACCGTGTGTCCTGCCGAGCCAGCGTGTTTGGTAGGTTAGGGATCAGCAGTCCATTCTCAACTCGGGATATTTTCAACTTTTGGTGGGTTTATAAGCGCACAGCTCCCTTGTAAGTTGGAGAGCATCTTTTTGAGTCTCTGACTTTTTCTCTATAAAACTGAAAGCATGCCTGCCCAGGGGAATGCTGGAGAGGCTCGTTTGAGGTGACACAGCAAGGATCTAAGACAGTATCTGTGAGGAATGAGTGGGTCAACTACACAAGTCTCCTCTCTGTCCAGAATTTTTCATACATAAACCACAGCTAGTCACGTGTGAAATACTGAAATAATAAAAAAAATGCAGTATTACACATGACTGTTTTACAAATGATCACAAGATCCAAAGTGAAAGACTATAAAATGAATACTACCATGAAGATAACTATATCTGGATTTTGTCTATATGGTTTCAGGATATATAATTGCAACGGCAAGTTTGGGTTACTGCTTCTTGCCTTTGGGGTGATTTTTTTAAGTGTACACCCTTAAAAAGAGAGTTTGCTGGGAAAAAATTATGGAACGTTGAGGTGAAGTTGCCTTTGATTCTGTCGCTTCATCATCGAAGCAAAGGATGATTCTTGAGTGTTTAAATTAATGAAAGTTCCAGATATCAAGTCATCTATATTGTCAATTAACTGCAGAAAAATTTCAGTGCTTCATTCCATTTTAGAGAACTCAGAAGTGAATTTCTAAACCAGCCCAGTGAACCGCACTCTTTGAATCCTGCCATTGTCTGTTCTCTAAGACAGGCCTCTCCTTTCCTCCTAGAAGGATTGTCACACAGGCTTCATTGCTTTCCTCCCACTCCTTACTTAGCCTCACTCCTCTCATTCCACCTGCTCTGTCTTCAAGAATACCGTGCTTCACCATCTGGGGCATGGACTGCAGGGGTGGATAACGGAAGACACCGGCGATTCAATTGCTGTTGCTCATTGCTCTACTTTCTTCCCTGAGCTACAGAAGTTAGACACGTATCAGTCTGCGACACGGAGGGGATGGCCAAGCGACAGAGATCATGCCCCCACTCCTTTCAAAGGAAAGTAAAACCCAACAACACTAAGAGTGTCCCGTGGCTGTAACGCGAGCTCCCAACGCGGCCCTCAGGACACAGCCTGGCACACACACCATGCTCACGTCGCACAGCCCTCAGCGTGTTGACTGCTTTTGACCTTTCTTAAGGTGCCCATCCACTTCTTAAAGTCTACATTTATGATTCCTTAACAGAAATAGATGGAGCCATTCTTTTTTTGCCAGTCAGAATCCCCTGATGTTATTTGCTTCCCACAGTTTTAATATTCTATATTGCTTTAATAATATCTTTGTAAAGGTTATATTACTTTTTGTCAAGATACCAATGTTCAGAACAACCCCCTTAGCAATTTTGCTATCTTTGAATTTAATTAATGGGCATTTTCCCCCTTGTGAAGATTGCTAAAGATAACTCGGAAAAAAAATGTCAAGAGCCTAAGTATACAGTATGTTCATAGTCATACATTGAAGCTGCAAAAGTTAATCTCAAAAAAGTGACTGCTAGAAGCTAGGAGAATAGGACTGGAGACCGAGAATGGATAATGGTAACAAAATGTACTTAGCTATGAAGAGTAATGTCTAGTGTTCTGTAGCAACAACCTATTCGACATTTATGAAGAACTAAAGGAATTTGGAGGTTCTAAACACAGAGAAAGAGTAGCAGACTGAAATGCTAGCCATCCTGATTGGATCATTATACAGCTTATTCATGTACTGAACTATGATAAGGTATCCCATAATAGACATTATCAACTGAAAACACATGTTTGAAAAACAAAATTATGTAGATGCAAGTGAACATAAAAGCTGTGAAACCAGAATTGCACATTTGCTTCTAATACGTCCTTTTGTGAAACTAGCACTTCTGGGGCCAAAGCAAAGATGCCACTTTCACTTTTCTCAGGAAGGGAAGGCAGCCAGTTCACAAGCCAGCGTAGTAACTGGCTCAAAGAAGGGTTGGGAGATGTGACTATAAAGGACAATTAAGAAGCATATATTTTTAAAGGTTTATTTTTCTTAGAAAGGCAGATTTACAGAAAGAAGGAGAGGCAGAAGGATCCTCCATTTACTGGTTCACTCCCCAAATGGCTATAATGGCCAGCCTGGAGCCTGGAGCCCCTCCAGGTCTCCCACGTGGGTGCAGAGTCCCAAGGCTTTGAGCCATTCTCCACTGCTTTCCCAGGCCACAAGCAGGAGCTGGATGGGAAGTGGAGTATATGGGACACAAACCAGCACCCATATGGGATGTCAGTGCTTGCAGGCAGAGGATTAGCCAATTGAGCCATTGTGATGGCTCCCAACATGTATATTAAGAGAAAAATCTCAAAATCAAAAAAAAAAAAAAATCAAACAAATTTGTAGCTGCTCTAAGATACAGCTGGGGAGAGACCAGGTGCTGGAGAGTGTTCCATTAAATGCCCAAATCTTAGGTTATGTGGATTGGATCTCAATTAGGCTCAAGGAGACACTCTGGACACCCACATCCCTTACCCGAGTGGATCGATATTTAGCACCAGTACTGCCATGGCAGACACCGGGAGCCAGCAAGTGACTGCCCAAGTTCTCCCACCCACGTGGGAGACCCGAGTGGAGTTCTGGACTCCCAGTGTCACCCGTGGTCAGGCAGAACACGCGGGACTTAGACAGTGTGAATTGGTAGCCAGCAGCTCTGTTTCTCAATAAACTTCAAAAGAAAAAAACAAATCCAGCGCCTGATGGGAAAGGGGCTGGTGGGGAGGAGCGTCCCCAACATGCGCAGACCAAAGGCACGCCTGGCCTTGATTCCTTCCTCACTTTTTCACTTCAACCCTCTTCTTCCATCTTTCCACGCCAGGTGATGAATCCAGCGGCTCGGGGAGCGGCAGCGGGTGCATGGATGACGTGTGTCCCACAGAGTTTGAGTTTGTCACCACGGAGGCCCCGGCAGCTGACCCCGACCGGAGGGAAGAGGACTCGGCGGCAGCCCAGCTCGGTCACTCCCTGCTCTCCTGGTCTCTGGTCGGCCTGGCCCTGGCAGTGCAGAGACTGTGCAGATAATCCTGGGTTTTTGGTCAGCTGAAACTGCATTTTAGCTCTCGGAATGGCCAACTCCTCTCTTTTGGTACACTCTTGGCCAATGGACCACGCCACACCAACTTCCCGTTTTCTATGAGAAGAGGGCAGTCCTGCCAGCTGCCTCCGTTTTTGTTTTCCCAAAGAATACCGGGTGCCAGACTGAACTGCCTCCTCTTTCCTTCAGCTGTCTGTGGGGACCCTGTTTATTCTAGAGAGAATTCTTACTCAAATCTTTCTTACCAGGAGGTTTTCTTACCTTCATTTGCTTTTATGCTGCAAAAGTAAAGGAATCTCACGTTGTGCGTGGGTTTTTTTTTTTCTTTTTTCACACTTAGAAATAAAGGTAGGAAGAAAAGAGATTTCCCTGTAAAATCAGGCCAAACCCCAAGACAACTGCATTTTCAACAAAGAAGCAAACAAGAAAGAAAACACAAAAGAACTTCAAAGCCATACGTCTGGCTTTGACAAGAACTCCCAGTGTAAGCTTTTCCGTGACAAATCAGGTTTACAAAATGCTTATGGGGAGCAAGCTTGAAACTTTTTAGAACTAGTGAAAATACACTGTTGTCTTGGAGGTGTTCATCTTGCACTCTAACCACATGATACCAAATTGATTTGGAGGTACTGATGTCAAAAGTCCATCTTGAATGAGAGCAAATCTAACTGATTCAGCACCTCTGTCTCACCCTGCCCAGTTCCAGTTTTCAGAAATGGCACCATGTTTCTTAATCCCCTCCATGTCTGACCATCGTATCCAATTGGCACAGATTTGTTTACCCCCTCACCTGCAGTTACCAGTGGACATGCCCATCAAGCCAACCTCCCCAAGGATCTCAACTGACAATAATCTCCAGCGATACAATCTCGGGTTTTGCCATAGCTTTGACATTAATGAGATTATCTCTGACCCCATGTTCATCCCCTCTCAGAATAAGGGTTTTTTTTTTAATTAATTGATAACCAATTCGATCCATAGGTGAGTCTTCATTTTAATTATTTGCTTTGTGTCAATTGGTTTCTGGACCATAAGGGCATTCACTTTCAAAAGAACTCACAATAAGAAAAAGCAAAACAAGAAAAAATATAAATATCTAGTATTGACATGGAGATTTCTTTCACTTTTTTAGTCTTAGTATGATCATCTATTTTTATATCTATATATATATATATATAAATCACAGATTTTAACTTCTTAATTCCAAGCTCAGGGTTGACACACCTTTGTAACAAAAACGTTTTGTCAACCAGCTCCTCTTGTTTTGTGCTGATCAGAGAAGGGAACCCTCCAATGATGTGTGAGCACTGAGAATCAAGAGAGAGAACTTTCTATGTACCTAACTGTCCAGTTACTCCAAGTTTGCCAGGGCACACCCTTTCCATGTGAGCATGCTTTGTCCTGGGTGCTCCAGAACATTCTGAGCTCATGGGACAAGCAATGGGCATGCAAAGACTTCACTGCTGATGGAATCTCTAAGCGTTATGAATGTGGCTCGTGAAAAACCATGGCTTATACATGCCACACCTTCAGCCTGCCTACCTTGCTGCCTGGCACTCGGAAAAATGGTCTAAACTCAAGGGGCCAATCTGCAGCCACGGCCTAACCTATCCCCAAGAATGCCAAAGCCAGGCCTTACGCTTCTCCTGGCAGAGAAGCAAAATAAACCAAACTGGGGCTTTGTGGATACAGCTGGCTAGCCACATGTTTCTTGGTTTTTATTATGCATCTGGCATATGGAGAAGTACTGTCTCAAGACACCACAGTATGCCAGACACATTTCAATTAGCTCATTGACAGTATTGACCTACAAATGGTATTTTTCGATTTCTGCTCCCATCAAAATTAAAATTAGCTATTGATTTAGTCATCACTCTTAAGTAGAACCCACGTGGCACCATAGTGTTAAGTGTATTTGAGCACTTTGGCAAAACAGAAAGTATTTACAAGCATCTATTGCTACTTTACGCCTAGCAAAATATGAAATGTAGAATTCTGAGAGACTTTTTGGCATCCATTCATTTAAACCTTTATGGAATTAACATTTACTCAAATCCAGCATTTATACACTTCAGGAAACCATCTATTTCACTGCCAAAATTGCACTTCCTGTCATCACTTACACATCTCTGAAGCACCAATCATCAGCATCACTCATTCCATGGCATGTTCAGAAATCAGTATTGTCTTTCTCCAATACCTAAGGTGCAATACAAATTAAATCAACTTTGATTTTTCCAGAATAGTTGAGTGATGACTTGCTTCTATGGTTTAAAACTTCAAGTCTTTCTCTGAAAAGATTTCTGCATTCTCTTCTATAACATGGATCAGGATGCCTTGTTTTTCCTATGCTTTCAGCCCGGAAGGATTTTGTGCATGTGTATGAATACACATTATGGTAATGAATATGAACCCCTTTTATACGCACTAAACACACAGATAATATATAAACACCTGCTTCATTTCTTTCAACACCTTCTTTATCAATAGTATTCCTACTGATGAGATGCAGTGATGTGGAGGAGCCAGGCAGAGCACTGAATTGCCTCTCAGTAAATGATGCCACATTGGTCACCCCTGCATGGATGTGGTACAAGTCACCAAGTTGTAGTTCCTGCTGTTTCTCATCACCCTACTATGTCAGGTGAATTTAACATAAGAGTTGCTTTGTCCCGGAAGGACTCAGCTTCATCGAATTAGCCCCTTTCCATTGAGTCTGGTGGCCCCTTCCTTACCTCCCTCCCCAGTCCCCAGCTGATTTTTCTTTCAGTGACAGAGGAAGCAGTGAGGCTGCGCGGTGAGGTCTCTGGTCTGCTCTCCTTGGCTCTGATGTCCCCTAGGTTCTGGAATCCCATCATAACTTCTGTTATGAGGAAGGAGGAATGGGCTCACTGGGATCAGACACTAAAAATCGGGGGTGATGCTCAGAACTGCAAACACTTAGCTTAATAAAGTGCCTCGATTTACATGTTCTTTAGTTATAATATGTATTTTTCTAACCGAATTACACGTCTGTAATTGGTGTATATGATGGTTTGTATATGTTACAACAAAAGCTAAGCAGAGGCTAATGTCTTCAGCAGAGAAGATGCACTGCACAATCACAAATGAGAGCTGTGCTTATGGTTCTGCATGGAAGAGCCGCCATGATAACCTTTTCTCGTTGTAATGAAAGCAATGTTGGGGGTTGGTGTCCTGATTGTAGCCATTACTGAACACCAACGCTAGAAATCGGACTCCATGGCAGAGATCCACCCAGAAAAGAGTTTGTCCCTCCTGTTTGAGATGTGAGGCAGAGGAAATACTATTTTGTCCATGCTATTATTCACCAACAAACAGAACTGATTATACAGGCAACTTCGTTAAATCAAGCACATGAAAGCTATCACTGGATGCAGAAACCAGATAATTAATCTGTATTCCCTGCTGCAGACATTAGCCAACTTTAACTCTTCTGCCATTACATACATGTTTTGGCTACAGGCTAAACACCAACTAAAGTCCCCAAGGAGGAATAAACTTGAGCAAATTTCTGAGATTTTTCTATTGCTTCTCTTTGCAAAGCTAATTAACAGGTGGTTTTGATGAAAGTACAAGGCTTAGCAAGTACAAAGCTTGCCTCATCCAAAATTTGAAGAAATTCAAACTCATTTCCATTTACTTATTATCGTTACAGACCTGACCTATAATTTTTAAAAGGGGGGGAGGGGGAAGAGGAAAGAAAGACGGTTTAGCTTTGCCAACAGAAGAGGAAAGAAGACCATAACTTAGAAATTTACAGTTTGTCTCTCCTTGGTAGGGCCAGTGTTTAGTTTTAGGCCAATTTACATGATTCGAGTATTGATTTGTACGCGTTCTGGAGACTTGCTATCTCATGGCTTGTGGCAGCACAGGCTCAGCTTAGCGTGGGGACATAAGGAACTTCTTTCAAAGTTGAGTGGCTAGCGGAACCCTTGACACTGTGCTGATGACACCTGGAGAGACACCTGAGGATGGCGTCATATTCAAGTCTCTGTGTGCATTGACAGCATCAATGTGTGCACCAATCAAACCTAAACTTTTATGTGACTGTCAAATGAATATTATTTGGGTTACGGTTTTTCATTTCTGATTTGGATAGAAAATTGCTATTAATCTTGTATTAAAATAGTTTTTAAAAATCTACCAGTGCCCTTTCTGCATTTTCTTAATCTTTGTTACAATCTAAAATTTTGGAACTTTTGACTTTTTTGCTTGAAACCCTTTAGAAATTACACATATACATATATATTCAATATATATATACAATATTTCTATACACACACATATATAATCTAGATTGAAATAGTGTCATTTACCAAAGTATACCCAGCATTTGAAATTGCAAACTTTTGTAACTTTGAAATATTTATAGCATCCCAAATATCTACATAAAACACCAGATGTTTCTTCTTTTATATTGTTTCTTTTGCACCCCAAAAAAAATCAGTGTATTGAGAACTGACATCAATATTTTACTAATGAGGTCCAAAAACTTAGGTTACATGTGAGAAGATGAAACGTTGTACTCTCAAGTATCCTACATGCTGTATATTCTGCTGCAGATCCACTGAGCATTTCTCGAACTCCTTCCCTGTGCTAATCCTACACAAGGTGCCCACTGGTTGTCAAGAACCACAGCTGAACATGATTTATTCTTCAATGCACCTGATCGTAATTACTGAACACACCCATACATCACTAACTCCAAGAATCCACTTAAATAAAAGAACTCATGTAAAGGGAACAAGAGGCCAGCATTCATGAGCAGGTGGTTGGCATAGCAGTCAAACTGCCAAATGGGACTCCCGCATTCTATATAGGAAAATAGGTTCAAGTCTAAGCTTTCCTGCCTCATCCGGCCTCACACTAAGGTAGACGCTAAGAGGCAATGGTGATGCCTTCATTAGCTGGGTTCCTGCCACTCACGCAGAAATCCTAGGAAAGTCATTGACGCCCAGACTCAACCCATGCCAGCTGCATACATTTGCAGAGTGAATCACTGCACAGATAGACATACGCTCCTGCCTGTGAAACAGATAAAGTTTTTCAAGATCTGATGTTCATTTGGAATGCAGAGTTAGAGAGGAGAAGTGATGAAGAGAAAGAAATCTTCCATATGCTGGTTCACTTCCCAAATAGACTCCAGAGCCAGAGCTGGGCCCGTGTGAAGCCAGGAGCCAGCAGCTACTTCTGCGTCTCCCATGTGGGTATAGAGTCCCAAGGTCTTGAACCATTCTTGGATGGTTTCCCAGGTTAAGTAGGGAACTGGATCAAAAACGGAGCAGC